AAAAATTATAAATTTCATGAAAATGGACACATAATTAAAAATTAAGTGTTGTTGGTAAATTAATTATCGACATAGATAACGTGTGTACACATTATCTATATTTAAGTACTTAATTAGTAGAAAAATTCATTTACTATACAAAAGCTCTAAGTTATATTTATGACGTGTGAAAGCTGCAAGTATTATGTAACATGTCGTTGAAAATAACAGGATCCAGATGCCTCTCGAAATTCCTTTACTTTTACTTCCGTGGGATTGTACCAACCCACTCAAACGACAATGGTTGTCTGATAACATGTGGTGCGCGCCTTAATGATTTATGAATAACTATTTAGGTTCCGTTCGTTACTTCTGATCTAATTTCCGTTTTGATGTGATAATAGACCTAAAAAATGTGAGAGTATGGAAGCGGGTGATAATTATTCAATTAACTTCTTTTACATATCTAATATCTCTCTCCTAAAGTGAAAATTATACTTTAGAGGTAAACATATAAGGGGAGGCTATAGTTACTACCTCTTTTCTCACTATTTCTTATTACTAAATCTTAATCGTTGATTTTCGTCAATCTAATGGGGTCATATTTATTAATTAATTATAAATTTTCAATAAATATAACCGTTAGATTGACAGAAATAAACGGTTAAGATTTGATAATAAGAGGTAGTAAGAAAAGGAAGTAGTAACTATAACCGCTCCCAGCATATAAAGTACTAATATTATTGAAATAAAATTTTATAATTCATATATGGGATTTAAACTTCTCCTTCAACAGAAGAAGTTAAATCATTCCTACACTAACATTGAATTACGTGCCAAACTTTTTCTTTTTTGTTTTTTTTTTAATTGGTGGACCCAAGAATTATGCTTCAGTCACATGACACACAAAAAAAATTACACACACAATATTTTGTGGAGCCCGCACTTTCTGAAAAAAAAAACTAAAGCACGCAAAACGAATCTCTATAACATTACTCAATCACTTTTCCTACAACATAACTCTTATAAAACCCATATATATATATATATGGGTTCGTTTTTTCTGCAGTTACTGCAGATAAGTTATCTGCAGTAAGCCAATACGACGTCGTTTTGGGACGAAAATCATGGTGTTTTTGTAATTTTAATTTATTTTAGGGTTATAATAGTCTTTATATTTATAATTTTTTAAGATTTTAATATCAAAACAACGTCGTTTTGAGAATAAATGCAGATAACTTCTCTGCATTAACTGCGGAAACATTTTTCCCTATATATATACATATATACATATATACATATATATATATATATATATATATATATATATATATATAGGGATTACTTTTTCTTATGTCATAGGAGACAAGACTATCTCCTACAGACACATTTTCAAGTGGGTCCCACACTATAACAAAAAGAAAAAAAATAAAAATTGATGGTTCAAATTTCAAGAGTCTATGACATGAGGTAAGCTTTCTCCAATGACATAAGAAAAACATTACCCATATATATATGGACAATGCTTTTTTCATATTACATGAGAAAACATTGTCTCATATAAAGACATATTTAATCAGGTGGATCCCATAACTAAAAAAAAAAAGAAATATTGGCTCGAATTTCAGCGAATAGTGTATTACCGGTCAGACATAGTGTAGTTTGTAAAAAAAGTTTGTCAATATAACCCCACTATATATGTGTGTGTATATATATATATATATATATATATATATATATATATATATATATATCGTTTTGTCACTCAAAACTACGTCATTTTGGATATTTATTTTCCTTATTTAATTGATCGAAAATGGATATCATATTTTTCTCTCTTCCTTTATCACCATCGATCCGCCTTTGTATGGTTATTATTCCCCGACTTGACAAATCCTTATGTCAAGTGACTTGACATTCAATTAGCCCATATAAATTGGGTTAAAGACTTTTCATGTTACATGAGAAGAAGAATCCTCTCCTACACAAACAACAAAAATGTGGGTGCCACTGAATTTTTTTCACTTTCCTCCTTCAATGGGACCCCACATGTTTGTTGTATGTGTAGGAGAAAAAATTATTCTCGTATAACATGATAACTCTTTAACCTCTATATATATATGCGTCAGAATCATTTTACACCAGAGTAAGTTACACTCTCAATCTTAACCATTGATCCTACTTATATCTAAGGGCTCTAATTTTTTAGTAATGTGAGCCATTGGATACAAATGGATCAATGCTCAAGATTGACTGTAAGACTTCCAACTCTTACACTGGTGTAAGAATATCCTGCCCCTATATATATATATATATATATATATATATATATATATATATATATATATATATATATATTAGTGAGGCATAGCCCTATATTTAAAAATGGGTTTCAAGTGAAGGTGGATAAGACCCATTTGCCTAGTTGGATTAGGGGGGCTATAGCGTGGGTCCAAAATAGTTACCCCCTAGTCTCGTAGCCTAAAAGTTTGAGTTGTTGACTGAAGTATTTGCTTTTTTGTTCAAGGTGCTTAAAGGAAGGCACCGAGCTCTGGTGGTCATAACTTATTGGGAATTAATAATTAATTAATACGTGTGACCTAATAAATTATAGTCGTCAGATTGACAAAAATTAACGGTTAAGATTTGGTTGTAAGAATTTGTAAACGAAAAAGTTGTAACTATAACCTTCCCCATATATATATATATATATATATATATATATATATATATATATATATATATATATATATATATATATATAGGATCGTTTGACACCGGAGTCAAATTTTGAAATTTGACACCAAATCTTAACGTTTGATTTTCGCCAATCAACGGTTATCATTTATTGGAAATCAAACTTATTAATTAATATTAATTCCCAAAAAATAATAATCGTTGATTGGCGGAAATCAACAGATAAAATTTGGTGTCAAATTTCAAAATTTGACATTGTTGTCAAAAGATCATGCCTCATATATATATATATATATGTGTGTGTGTATAATGTCAGTTATTGTTATTTTTGTAATTAAAAGTTATAACTTCACACTTTTTTTTCGCTGAAATTCCTGTGTCACATGCAGCTACCAAATGAGCTAATTACCATAAAGAAAAATTACCAATGAAAATTAGCACATCTGGTCGAATATGTTTCCTAACACCTGAAGCGGATATGTTTAGGAAACCACAACCTAAATTTGAAAGATGCCACATGCATCGTCTGCTTCATGTTTTATACCATTCACCACAATCAAATAATAATGTGATAAACAATTAACAAATAATGAATAGAACACTATTTCAATGAGAATTGATAATTTTAAATACTAATTTATGATTTTCATTTTACTTAGACTTATTCAATTTAAATGTAGAGAATATAAAAAATAAATTATAACCTGAAGAACATTAAATAAAAGTAATTACCAAATGAAAATAATAAGTAAAAAAATCAGCAAATAAAATACTAAAGATTAGTTCAATTTCTTTCAATTTTCATTCGAAGTAATTTAGGATTATTTCAAATCAATTCTCTTACAACTACTAAAAGTAAAATTCATTTAAAGTGGTTAAGATTAAATTTCTTGACATCCCAACCATTTTCCATATGAAAAGATACTTAATTCCCTAATACATCTTCGATGGGATAAATCATTAAGCCCAATGAATTCTAAATAGAGTGCACCTTCCTAATCATTAGCAAATAGAGTAACTATATTCATATCCAATTCATATACCAATTTATCGCTAAGCAAGCCATGAAAGCACTAAGCACATAACAATTACTCAATAAAAGAAAAATATTGAATTAAGTGCTAAATCATAACTTCATATTCAGATTGAATTGGGTTTTCATCTAGCATAACACAAAAGAATTGAGGAACTCATAATATAAAAAATAGAATAAAAATAAAAGAGCTCCATTAATAATAATTAAGAGGAAAATTTGATCTTTGATGCTTCCGCACTTGAATCTCCTCTCCTTGCCGTGTTTAGCCATCTTCACGCTGATAATCTTTTTTACCCCAATTAACTAAAAATCCTAAAAGCCTTCCTTTATTTCTCAATTTTATGACCTTTAATAATGGGCAAATTAACAATGACGCTATGGGAACAAGTTCCTAACACAATGGCACTATAGGTCCCAAGAAGTCATCCTAAATGTAAAGCGAGTGCTATGACACTCAACTCTTGACACTTTGGCGCTAAACCAGCAAATCAACACTGGCCTAGCACTATGTGCCTAATTCCTAGCACATATCAACCTCCCTAGGCATACCTTAGAGAGCAGAGTTATATTTACAAAAAAAATTGTTTACAAACTACACTATATATTATAGGTAGTACAAATTATTTGAATATATATTATCTTAATACATAATGTAATTTATAAGAGTTTATAAACAAAAAATTTGTACATATAATCTATCTCTAAGTTAAAAACAATAAAAGTCCAATTTCGTACAAGTTTCTCATAAAACTAACAAAAGTCACAATATGATTATTATAAAAATAACCTAAAAATTTACCAAAGTACTTGCGTGCGTAAAACTATAGTCTTTACCATAATTTTAATAGCTTTTATCTTCTTTTTCACCTCACAACAATGCTAATTCAAATGATTACCAAATTATCGAAAGTGTACCTTTTGGCAGTGCTTAATGGAGTGCCTGAACCACTTGCTACACATCGCCCAATTACTCTCTTTTGGCCAATATTCCAATAACAAAAAAGAAAAGGCATTTACTGCTCCGAAGACATGTAAATATAACAAACTAGAGATGTTCACAACAAAAACAGTTCAATATCTGAATAAACATTAAAATATTAATTAAATATTTAAGGTCTTTTGCACTGTACATAGAACTGAATGGCGCCAGGATAAAAAAAATTGTCTTAAACGAGCAACACTCAGCGAAAACCAAGAACACTTAGCTGCGGCAGATGGGAAACTGATTTAGTACAATCGAATCTATTTATGCATGAGGCCAAAATTTGACAAATATTCCCTAAAAAAAAAAATCAAATTGATACAAATTACAACCTATTCGAGCATGACCTCAATTAGAGCATACACCATAATCAGATGTAATAAACAAGAAACTCTATTCCATTGAGTTGAATCGAACTGTTCAAAGAAGGCCAAAATTTTAAAAGAAGAAAAGAAGGAAAAAAATGGAATAATACATTATGAGAGGCAATTGTAACTCCTAAGCTCAGGTCACAGATAATTGCTGTAGAAAGAGCTTCTCGCAACCTTTCAGTAATCATCATCATAGTTATAACCATCATCCTCATAGTTATATGTCTCGTCTGCATTTTCTTGATACAAAGTATTTTCATATTCTCCGTCCATATCACCATCCTCAAATTCGTCAGCTGAACCTGGTTCATCATCCTTTGGTTTGTCCTCTAACTTTGACTCAAAATTATCATGATTATCAGAGGGTAGCTCAAATCGTACTTTCTTGGGATTCTCTGGAGCCACCTGTTTATAATAAGAGTTAGATACAAGTATTTGTACCAAAAAAAGAGCATTTGCCATTTGTCTTTGTTTAAAGAATAAAATAGGTCAATCTTGAAAAGGACAACTTTCCATAACACAATTAATTTAAAGGTCAAGTATATATTGCAAATTGGTCTTTCAATCACAACGACCAAGTAACTACAACTAACAATTATACAATAGAAATGCAAAACTATAAAGTAAATAAAGATTGAGATATCAAGAGTCGATAGATAAGCAAAATCTCTAAAAGTAAATCAGAAATGGTATGCTCACCGTTAAACAACATAGACTGTTCTTTAATCGAAATAAGTTTCAGCCGATAACTCAAATAACCACACACAAAAAAAGGAAAGAAATTTCCTTGTTCTATTAAGTAAATAAAACATTAAAAAAAGATCAACCAAGTAGATATGACCACACAAAGTTGCAAAGCAGCTTCTGAATGTTGTTGTTAACATTTAAAACACAAGAAGTGAAACAGCAATAGCAATCAGAAGATTCACTAATCTATGCTTTAACTATCTTAAGAATTGGAATTTGAATTGAGATAATGACATGCAAATGATACCGAAGATGAATTTGAATTCAGATAATGACATGCAAATGATACCGAAGATGCGTTTCAGCTATATCAAGTAAAAATGTATCTCATCTCAGTTTGGGGAACTCTAAGAATCGATACATGCTGTAAAGAACCTTGGGATACACCGCCCCAAAAGCTAGCTCAAAGGGTGGGAGTGCCCAATATATTTCTCAACACGCCCCCTCACACGAGAGCCCACTGGGCTTGAAGGGTGGACAACATACAAGCCCACCTACATGTGGAAATTCCACTACAAACAAAGTGGGAGGCGGTGAGATTTCGAACGCTGTGATACCATGTAAAGAACCTTGGGATACACCACCCCAAAAGCTAGCTCAAAGGGTAGGAGTGCCCAATATATTTCTCAACACATGCATTCAAAAGCAAAAATAGTTGAAGGAGAGAATTACAGGTTCATTAAATAATTCTTCCAAGCGATCATAATTGACTTTGGAGCTCAGCCTCTGCATATGATATGTGAAAAAAATCATTAGTAACATATAAACGTTTATAGAAGATTAGTAGCAAAACTAACATAATTCATATTTCTTGCTCAGAGTTGACAAATATAGCTGCAAGTACAAAGTAAAATATAAATCATAGATAACACGGATGAATGCAACCTCATCCGTATATATCAAAACAAAGCAACAGACAAACATCCCTTAACCCTAAATGCTTAAAGAGTGAGTGAATCCAAAAGTCAACTATTTCAGATGTTATATTTATACTCTCCTATACTATTTTTGTAAAGAACCAATTCAACTCAAAAGTTTAAGCTGTTGAGTGAGGCTATATTAATGGTTTTACATTTCTCTAACATGCCCTCTCACATAAAAGCACATTGGGCTTGAAGGGTGAATAATGCATCAGGTCCAGCCTATCTATGCTAAGAAACTCCATAATATTTAATGATTTTTTATTTATAGAAGGGATGCGGTGAGAATCGAATTCATGACCACTTAGTCATGTTAGCTCTGATACCATGTAAAGAACCAATTCAATTCAAAAGTTTAAGTTATTAGGTGAGGCTATATTAATGTTTTATATTTCTCTTAACAATTTTTTATATATATGTTAAAATTATTGGAATTCAGGTATTGAAGGGAAAAAAGAGAGAATAAATGATATTTGATTTAATAAGTTATAATGTGATACAAATTACGAATTACTAATCCCTATTTATATTAATACTATACTTAAAATCTTAATTAAATAAGAAAATAAATCATGAAATATAAAGAAATAAGGAAACTATTGCTTATAGACCATCTAAGATACTCCAAACTATACTAACAAGATATTATGATATATTTTTCATACATTCTAAAAATATATAAGAGAAGAAATTTATGAAGACAAAGAGAAGAATAATACAAAAGGGATAGCAGGACATGAACCAGGACATGAACCATGACCCATATATAGGTGTCAGACAATCAGTTGAGTGGTTAGGTTGTTAGGAGTAGTTAGCCCCTGAACTATATAAGGGGGTATTCCTTTTGTCATAGCCATCTTTAGGGGTTCTATAGTAGAATTGACTGAGAAGTCTCTCGATGTGAACGGGATAGGCCCTTGTCTTTAGGGGTTGTATTGTATAATTGATGGAGAAGTTTCATTTCTTTAGAAAAGCCTCATTTCTATACAATTCAATGTTTACAAAAGCCTCATTTCTTTTTTAAATCCTTTTATATGTTTCATTATTACTCTAAGAAAGATGTCACCGTTCAATATCAACTAAGCCTTATCCCGCTTATAGTACAAACTTACCTAGAAAAAAAAAAAAAAAAAAAACGAAAGAAATGTGTTCAAGCTAGCAAATGCAGGGGAGCATCCCACTGAACAAATAATCAGTGAATGGGAAATGAAGTTCAATTTGTAAACTGAACTAATCCTGATCCAGCCAGAGAGCATTGTAGGCTGTCAGCACAGTACGACCTATCCAAATTATGATAAAAGGTTTCGGAAACTACTACAAAAATTCAATTTAGAATTGAAAAGATAGAATTCGGTTTGGGGCTATAATACCTAAATATTTTATTCAAAGTTTTTTCAAGGCACAAGTCAAGTCTCAAGTCTCAAGTCTCAACCATCAAACTAGCGACTTTCATACTAATTCATGTACTTTTTAATTAGTACACTTATTCAACTTCCTAAAGTGTATCACTATGTTATATGCAGGGAAATTCCTACGTATAAGACAAATAAAAAGAACTAAAATAGCATGATATAAGATGAAAAATGATAACTACATAAAGGAGAAAAAAATAACTTCACTAAAAAACATAAACATGTCAAAACAGAAGAGAAGGCATCATAATGAGTTTAATAAATAAAATACCTAAATATGAATGTGTGCTTTTGAATAAGTACCTTCGTTCTCAACATTTGGCGAGTGGCCTCTACAGCAGATTGAGCAGGACCCGAATTTTTTGTCTCTTGAGCTCGCCTCTGTTTCATTTCCTACACGTGCATTTTAACCAAACTGAAAAATTATTACCTTGAAGTCTTGTTGCAGTTTATGCAGCATAATTGTACCATGAAGGAAAAATAATAAAACTATAACCCATCTACTAAAATGCACCCCTTCACTTGTAGAGGGAAACAGTCAATTTGAAACCAATACACACGTACACACACCTCAACCAGAATATGCTCCTTGATTCAATTCATTGTGCCAGAGTCAACATGTTCCCAACGAAGAAATTACAATCTATGAGTTTTACAAACAAACAAACAGGAGTACTTACATATGTAAAAGTGTTGAAAGAGAAATTGTGTATGGGTTGCACACTCGATCTCTTATTTATAGCTTGATTACAATCACTCAATGAGTAATTAGAAGCTAACTTACAGCCTAATAGTCAGTAGCTAGCTTGCAGCCTGATCATTAGCTAATCAACATAATTATGGTTGACTATATATTCTAAAATAAATAATTATATTTAATACTGTAACAGTATGTATAGCTCAAGTCAGCTTGCAGATTACATACATTTGTTCAAATATATTTGTGCATGATTTAACTAAAATTTTTAAAAAATGTAAAGAACCAATTCAACCCAAAAGCTTAAGTTGTTGGGTGAGGCTACATTAATAGTTTTATATATCTCAACATGCCCCCTCACACAAGAGCCCACTGGGCTTGAAGGGTGGACAATACACAGGCCCACCTACTTGTGCGAAGGAAGAAAATCCACTAGAAAGAAAGTGGGGGGCGGCGAGGATCGAACCCGGTACACCGAGGCTCTAATACCATGTAAAAAATCAATTCAACCCAAAAGCTCAAGCTGTTGGATGAGGCTACATTAATGGTTTTATATATCTCAACAAAAAATAAATTCATATTATTGCCACAATGTTGCTGAAACTCCACCGCTTGACTAATCAGAGCGTACATTAGCAAAAATCCATTAATTAATAAGAGCTGTCTGTTCCAAAACAATGGCTGTTCATGGTTTTTGACTCAACGATGATTAGGCTAATGTGGTAAAAAATATACTTTAAATTTGAAACTATCCCATTCATAGAAATAGTGTTAAATCAGGTTTATCCATTTCCCAAATCTTGGATCTTCTAAGCAATTAATAACCAGTCATTCCTGATATTAGCACTGGCTCAATGGAAGTCCCACATTTTAACAATTACAGTTGCAAATGCACATCAACATCAGAAAGCATATATTCATAGATAGGTAACTGAAAAAATATGTTAAAAATATAAATGAATCCTATAAATTGCAACCAATCTTCTGTATTCATAATTGAGTCTGAAAATTATTGCTGTTTAGCCAAATGTGCAATGTCTTTTCCCATGTACCACATTATCATGATCATGCATACCAAATTCCAAATATAATTTTTGTTATGTCAAAAATATAGAGGTCAATGTCTTTTTCATACATTGGAAAATCATAATGTTTGAAAATTTTATGGAGTACTTATAAAACACATTCTAAAATCAAACTTCCATGAAGTGTTTTGAGATAGTCTATATGCAACAAATGCAAATTTAATAGCGTACTTCGTGAAAATTTATCTTATAAGTTATTTAATAGCGTCACCTGGATTTAAGTCTTACATTAGTTTCAACACACACAAAAAGAACCTCACCAGAAAAATGATTCAAAAGTTACCTTTCTGGATTTTGCCACAGCTGCAGCAGCAGATGCAGCAAGTTCTCTCGCTGCTAGCAAATCGTCAGAACAGTTTTGGAAATTTGCCTCAAAAGCTTTCTTAGCGGCTGCTGCAGCTGCTTCCTTGGCTGCTTGTTCCTGTAAAAGAATAGAGGTTGAGCCTTATCCAGTACACAATAAACTCCCACATAAGACAAACTACGAAATAGCAAACCACAAGTATAAGCAACAAGCATCCCCTTCAGAATTTAAATCATAATAGAATTTGGAAAAACTACCCGGGAACTTTGTCCAGCAATATCAAAACAGAAAAAATAAATGGATTTAATTTTCAGTACCTCAAGATACTCTCTATTCATATTTTCCCATATAATCTTCTTGAAATGCTTTTCCTCCTCATTGTGAAGGTAGCCATCAACCTAGGCAGCATACAGCATTTTAATAAGGGGAATAGTCGGCATACTAAGCAAGTCAGTAACATAATATATTTAAAATCAACGTGAAGACAGAAAATTATTAAGAGCATAACTAACAGAAGATAATTAAATTTTCCCAGAAATTTACAACAAGATACAAGAATAACTGAATCTCAAAATCTTGATTAAATATCTGAAAACTCAGAAAACAAAAAATTATTATAAATACAATGAAAGATGAGCATAAATGCTGGGGCAAAAAATGGGATCATTATTCTTAAACGCCAGTTGTAAAAGCAGGGAGAGGATTTGTTTCTTGATTCCTTTTCTCTTTCAAATAGCAAGAAGTCGTTAAAATTTTCTACCATTCAAATTTTTATTTTTATTTTTATTTTGATAAAAAGAATAAATTCATTAAGATGGAGAGAACAAATTAAAATGAGTTAGGAGGATAGGGAATCCTCCTTAACATAAGAGCAAAACACAAAAGAAAAAAGAAAAAAAACTGAAAGTGGAACAGAGCTGCCGAATCCCTCAACATATTTTTAAGATAAAGAGAAAACATAAAAATGAGTGAACAAAAACACATAAATGGTGCAAAGCTGCCCAATCCCTCAACATATTTATTAGGGAAACCACCTTAAAAAGACCACGTGACTAAGTAGAAAACAAACACCTAATCTAAAATCAGTTCTTGTGCCAATGAAACCTTGCTAAAGATAGAGCTATACTCCAACAAAATGCGCAACAAAGTGTAGCACAGATAGCACATTGCCAAAATAGCCTCTTTGCTTCTACCAAAACCAAGGTTGTCAAATTCAAGAGTTCAAGTACACTCATGGAGCTCTTATAAACTCGACTCATTACCTCATAAGTCATAAGAGTTTACCTATTTAATAAATAATATTTAAAAACATCGTTATACACAAACATTATTCAATACAGATACATAATCAACATTGATTGTTCCAAAACATTTGATCAAGAATAGAGGTAAAGAAAACTTAAACATAGAGGCAAAAAAACATATACAGAGGCAACCAATAGAACATAAACTGTAGATAAACAGTGTCTTGAACATTTGTAAGGAAGAAAGACAATAAAGACACAGGAAAGCATACCTAAAAATCTGCTACCCAATGGTCCTCCCAAAAGTTGACATGACAACTAAAAAAGATGAAGAGAAACTGAGAGAAAGGAAGAGAAAAGGTAAGAAAATGAGAGAAAGTGTAATCTGTATTTCTGACATATTTAGTTGAGTTCAGACGAGCAGAACTCATATTTACTGAATACGAGAGACTCCGTGTAAGCTGCATTAGGGACTTAACCAACTAAGTAATCAGTTGGTTGTTACAACTAAATGCAACTAAGTCCCACATAGGCATAACAGAAACAGTTGCAGACTTGCACTAATTACAAGTTGTCCCCAGTCTACAATGAGGATCGCAGTATACTAGTACAGCACTGTCTAACAGCTAATACTGTAATTATATTAATATTACATCATCTAATAATATTACTCAGTCAATGAAATCAAAGACTTAAATGGTAGCATAATCCTGCGATTTTCAAGGCCTAAAATGAGAAGTTCAATTGATGTATTGACATCCTACCCATTTTGAGCTAAGTCATATTTCGTATAACCCAATACCAAAGGAATCGAGATTACAAAGGGAAACCCCCAAAGTCGTTTACCCATCAAAGCAATGTTCTTAGACACCAAATTAACAAAACCTACTTGTCCCAAGCCATCTTTCTTAGGACCAAGGTAGTCAAAATCAAGATCCTACCCACGATCGAGAGAGAGAGTGAAATAGGTAAAACCATACTTGTCAGTAGCAGTTAGCAGCTAGTAGCGGCCAACCCCGAAAATGGTATAGCGGTGTAGCGGGTAGCGGTGTAGCAGGTAGCGGTATTGCTGCTACGGTGAAGTATTAATTCCACATATATTTTACTAACTGTCTAATACTACACAAATATAAATGCTCAAACATAAGAAGCCACACAAAACCAAACACATAATTCCACAATCAATGTCAAATACAAGGAACATAAAGGAAGGATCCAAAATTAAACACAAATGAACAATGGATTCCACAAAATCAAACACATAATTCCACAATCAATGTCAAATAATGGGTAGCATCGCGTTGCACCCGCTACGCTACGCCACTATCGGCAAGCGTCGCGGTTGTGGCGGCCGGCCGTTGTTACCCGCTATTGTAGCGGTTTAGCGGCACTACGGGCGGCTACTGACAACCTAGGGTAAAACGTGAGATCATAACACAAATCATAAGATCCTATAAAATTATATTCACACACACACACACACATAAATATTTAATTAGGTAAATAACCTTAAAATTAAAACTAATTGTTTGTAACTGTATATTTCTTCATTAATCACAAATGGAATAAGTTTTACAATATAACAAAGACAAAAGGTTAAAAGAGTAAAACAACAAAGGCTACATGGGCTAAGGCCCATAAAACTAAGTTACAAGAAATTCCCACACTAATAGATAATTAAATTCTGGTCACAAATGGTCACAACACAACTTAAATTTACAACTGATAATATCATAGACAAATTTTTTATGGAGCATAAAACTAAAACACTAAAGAAAATGCTCAACTAGTAAATATCATGATATTACCATACTTCAATTAGAGATACAAAACAGAGCCTAAAAACAATTGAAACATTAAAAAAACAAAGCACACGAGCAAATAACAGACCAGCAAATAGCCAAGCACAATCCCAGCCAGAAACAAAAGCACATTGAAGCAAAGACAAGAAGCAGGGAACAGGTCAAACCCCCAACGACCCTCACTACCCAGCCAATCTTTCTCAACCGTCAGGCACAAGCTACAATCAGTTTGCAGCCACAGATCAAAGCTCTGAACCCATAGATTGCAGCTCAAGGCAAGCAAACAGGTAGTAGGGAAGGGTGGAATGCATGACATAAGGGTTTGTAGGGCTTGGGGTCTTTTATGATTTCAGGTGGGCTCGGGTTTTATTTTCAGAAATGGGTGACTAGGGCAACACAATGGGATCATCTGTTTTACAATCACACCAAATCATGTTTTTGGGTGTGTTTGGGGTCATACCAGCAAGCAAAAATCATGGAAGTGTGCGATCTTATGATCTAACACACAATTTTGATTACCTTGCTTAGGACAACAACAATTACCAATTCACCAAATGATCATGTCTCATATTAGTAACATCCAACAAAAGAGAATCCCTCATAATCTTTTCTTCAAGGATTCTCAACAAAGAAACTAAATCATCAGAAGTTTCTCGATCATTTATATTTGGGTTCGCTTTTTCTACAGTCAATGTAGATAACTTATCTACATTGAGCCCAAAACGACGTCATTTTGAGGCGGAAATCAAGGTATTTTTGTAATTATAATTTATTTCAGGGTTATAATAGTCTTTTTCATTATAATTTTTTAATTTTTCAACCCACAACGACGTCGTTTTAGCAGCGAATGTAGATAACTTATCTACATTTATTTTAGAAACATTAAAGCCTTTATATTTTAAAAGAAATGAAATTCCCCTTAAGGAACGCTTCAATATAAAAATTCAAGAATTTGGAGTGCTAATCAAGTTGAAATATGCTAAAAGGAAACAACAGAGACCCAAACATGAGTATTTCCCGATCACATATCCTCTTGAAAAAGAAAGCAGGAGGCATTTCCACTTATAGCAAATGGTAGAAAGAGGGGGTAAGGCTGCAAAATCCAACTTCCTACATAGACTGACAATACTCCATTCCACAGAGACTTTCAAAAACATTTGATGTTTCACGGACTGAAATTTAAAACAACAATATGATTTCCCTAGTAATTGTTTGCATAACAAACAACCTCCTTGAAAACAACACTCAAAGGAATCATCACAAAAAATCTTAGTTATACAAAAAAGAAAAAAAATGAAAAATCTAAAGGAGTAGCATGTTATGAATCACACAACACCATGATAGCTAAGAAAAAGCCAACATATGAAGCATGGAACTCATTAATCACCTCCTGGTCATCAATATCAGAAAGACTTTCTGATTCATCATGAGCTTTTGCGTTCATATCATCTTCTCTATGAGACTCATCATGGTCACCATCTTTTATACCATGGAGCTCATTAGCCCCTGAAAGCATTTTAAGCAAATTATGATTGAAAAATCATAAGCAAAGATATCATAGTAGCCAGAGAGAGAAATAAAAGCACCCACCAATAGTTTCTGGTTCAGAGGCATGTAATTCTTCTATTTGGCTCTCACATGCACCATTTGATGCTTCCACCAACTATCCAAAAGAACAAACAAAAGATACATAAGATTGTAAGTTGAGTTAGTTGATGCCTCTTTGATGATTGTATATGGGTATCATGTTTGGAAAAAGAAGATGCAGTTGATTGAATTTACGTTAGATGCTTATATATATGACTTGAGACAGGATCATGTTCATGTAAGGATAAGGACTACAGAAAAAGTAAAAGCTTCTGCTAGAAAACATTTCTATCAAAACAGTTCCTCCCAGGAGTACTCTTGCAGTGGTTGCATATTTTCTTTGTAGTAACAAGTCAGTGCTAAATTGCACAAACAGTATAGTATCTTTATTGCCTAATATGGCTAGTGATATCTGAGGCATCTGGTACTCACTTTATCACTAGAATATTTAGTATCATTACAAATACCTACGGATCTTATCAGTACTTGAAAAGACATTGGCATGATGTTTTAAACCAGAATATGGCATCAGCATGCACCTGAAGATTGTGGTACATACCAAAGGAATGCTTACAACCATGGGACTTAGTCAAGATGTACTTACATCATGTGATTTATTGGCACTTTCCTCAGAGAGTGATTTTGTCATTCTCTCTCTCTCAGCATGCTGGAATGCAGGAGGATCCAAACCACCACCAAGTCCTCCAGAGAGTTTATCAAACTGTAACAATCAGTAGAACAGTGAATGGCAATAATCAGCAGTGGTTGATAAAGGCTAAAAGTTTACATCAGAAGAAATGACTCACTTCCTTGTAACATGCTTCACATAAACCAAGGGCGAAATGGGGCACAGCACTATCCTTGTGTTCACATAGTAGATCTTTTGAAGTACATTTGTTCAACTCACCATTTGGTATTTTAATTGGATTATTTTCATGCTCTTTTGCCATCGTATTCAACTCCTCAATCTGTAACCATAATAGACTGATGAAATTTTCCATTTACTTTCAGAGGCATTAAAATTGAATAAAAATGAAAACATAATATAGACCATGAAAAGAAGACGATAGATCAAAATGAATTGAACATAATTTCAGCTCAAGAAACTTTGAAAGGTGAATTTGAAGTCCGAGATAGACATGTAAAACTTGTGAGTATTACACCAACAGCTTATACACACTCAGTAAACTTAAAGTTCATTACTCAAATCTTAGAGCTTTAATAATCCAAATATGCCTCAACCAGAAGAGTAGATGGATATAAAAAATCATTATAATCTTCCCCATAAAGAAAGAGAAAATTAAAATAAAAAAGTTAAGCATATGACAGTCAGTAACAATTGGAATATCTACAACATCAATTTATACGCGTGCAATAAAAAATAATATTCCTAGAATGATATTCTCAGAACAGGTTACTGATTGTTCTAAAGATATAGTCTTGTACCAAAGAAAAATATCACACGTCTATAAACAAACAAATTTTACATACGTAAGGTTTATGAAGCAAGCTAAAATAAAGGCATAACATGGAATAAGAAACATACTGTCAAGCTAGCAGACTCTGTATTCTCAAATTCTACCAACCGCTTAGTCAATGTTGCTTCACATACATGGACGATTCTTAGCTGCATTGCAAATTAGAAAAGAAAACAAAACATTAGTTAGGTACAACTAATAGCTAGATGACTGAGTCGCATCCTAAAATTCAAAACTGCACTAAGTGAAGAGAAAAATCCATGAACAAGTGTATAGGTGCAGAAGATAAAAACATTCATTACCGGTAAAATGATCAATCTCTTCAAAAAAAAAAAAAATGGTTACATGAAAATAAAAATGTAACACTGGAACCCACAAGACAAATTTTACATATTCTATATGCAATTATGAAATTGGATTATAGCTGAAATATCCTAGGAAAATAATAGTAATTTATAATAATAATCAATTAATAATAATCAATTATAAATTAGTAGTAGTAGTAATAATAATAATAATAATATACATATATATATATATATATATTAGGACTAATGATAAACTGTGAGGCTTTTTAACCCTTTTGCCCCCAATTAAATAAAAAATAACCATTTTACCCTCGTTCCAAAACTATACACTCAATTACCCTTGTTTAATCGATTAAATAAAATAGGTAATCAATTAAATGTCGAAAATTTATTTTAATCGATTAACTGTTTGCATATACTGCAATAGCAAGGCAAAAGGTCCCAAAAAATCCCAAAATGATTAACAACAATAATAACATTGCATAACATGAATCAGTGTTCCCATTATTTACATTTAGTTAATCATCATCAATTCATCACCATAATTAACACCAATCTCTACATAAAGAATTTGCTTGTTGAATATTTCCCATTAGAAAAGTTTCCAGTGTATTCCAAAAAAAAAAAAGTTTCAAGAAGCCACAATTGTTGGTAAAAGAATGAACTCGTACATGCGGAAGTGGTTGGATGAATAACGATAGTCGGAATCTTCTTTGGAATCCACCGGGTTGTTGTGGGGAGGTATTTCTGCACGAGTGTCTCATCGGAAAACATGTCGCCGCCAAGGAGCTTCCTTGGTGGGATGTCAATATTGATTTCTTAAGGGAGAGGAGTTGGTGGATATGTTGAAACTTGTGATGATGTTGTTCTGCATAGACATTGCTCATTTTTGGGTAACCACAATGGGAGATTCTCACAATTTGTGTATGAAAGAGTGGGTAATGACAAGGGAAGAATGAAGAGTGGTAGAGAAAAACAAAGCAGGGGTGAGTTATATCAGATGGTTTAGAAGAGAGAAAATACAGAGAGAGAGAAAAAAAGAAAGAAAGAAAAAAAAGGTGTGTGAGAAGTATAGGGTTGAGGAGCAATGTGGCTGCATAGCAGCTTTAGGGATGAACATGCAAAATAAGATATGTGGCAATTTGATAATTTGTTGCAGTCATTGGGATTAATCGATTAAAAAAAATTTCTACATTTAATCGATTATATATTTTATGTAATCGATTAAATCAGGGCATATGGGTGTATAATTTTGAGACGGGGACAAATGAGTGTATAGTTTTGGGACGAGGGTAAAATGGTTATTTTTTATTTAATTAGGGACAACAGGGTCAAAAAGCCTAATCTGTGATTAATTGAATTATTAATTGATTGATCTTTTATGCATTAATGTTTGATTGGTAATGTGATTGGATTAGGATGAGTTAGCAATCTTTATTTGATCAGACATGGGTTGCTCTTCGTACAATTATTATTATTATTATTTTTTTAATTTCTTATGGCTCAGAATATAAACTTCAGCTATAAATAGAGACATAACCTAACCCTAACCAATCCTCAATATTCCTCTTATTCTCCTTTTCTCCTCTACTCTCTCTTCTTACTTCAAATTTTTATTATTTTATTTTATTATTATTTTTCTTTGGTTACTAACCGCTTTTCTTCCCCAAATCGCTTTTCTTCTAGAAGGTAGTAAACACAGAAACCAGGTAATCCTAATTCCTAGAGAGTCATATGGTAGCCTGATATGAATTTTGGTTTGATGTAATCCTAATCCCTAGGTGCTCATAGGTTAGTTATATATGAAATTTGTTGGGTGTATCCTAATCTTTAGAAGTAATAGATTAATACGAATTTTTATAATGTAATGATGATCCTAAATATATCATAAGGTTGTCTTATATGAAATGTATTATTTGTAATCTTAATCCCTATGTTCTCTTAGGATATTTTTGTATATGAAATTTGAAGTTCCTAGGTTCCTTTAGGTTATTTTTTTTATATATATGAACTTTTGTATATGTAATTCTAATCCCTAGAGAGTCAAGGTTTAGCTTTATATGAATTTTTGTTAGTGTGATTCTGATCTTTTGGGTGTCACAGGTTAGTTTTATTTGAAGATTTTTATATGTAATTCTTGTTCCTTAGAGCATCATAGGATAAGTTATATATGTTTGGAATTTTATTGGGTTTTAACTCCTAGAAAATAATAGGATTAATTATTTTGGAAATTGTGATATTCTTGGATAATTGAATTTGGAAATTATACTCTTGGTAAATTGATGTGGAAATTATGAAACTACGTGAGGAAATTTTCTAATATGAGAATTGTTACAAGATTGAATTGATTGTGTGTGATTGAAGTAAATTAATAGTGGGAGGATAGTTTTGGGATGGTACCTCCTAAAGTGATGAACACAACCTTTAGGCTTTATGCCTCCGATATATTTATACGATGTGAACAGATATTATCCATTCTTCCCAAAGTGGTGTCTGGCAGGGTTTCCCGAAATACTAGTAGCAACTTTGGGAAGAGGTGTGCACACTAGGAAGAGATGTTTTGATTATGGCCAATTTGATTATTTGTGACTGGCAAGGTTTCCCGGGTCACAGGGTAGACTGGCAAGGTTTCCGAGGTCTACCATGGTTCTCTTCCCACTAAATACACTAAATGAACTTAAACATGATTAATAATAGAATTTGATACTTGATTTGATTATGATGAATATTTGAGTTGTGATTATTATGATCTATGTAATATTGTGACTAATGTTGTGCTGAATATGTTAGTTGAAGATTATCCTTATTAAAATATCATTTGAGTTGATTATGCCGATTTATTGAGATATAATTATTCTAAATAAAATGCCTTGATTGATTTTGAGTTTATTATAATTATTGCTCTACTTATGACTATCTTCGTTGTGTTCTAGATTGGGATTACCAGTTTTTGCTTATTGTTTGTCTTTGTCTTTGTGCTGCAATGATACTTTAAGGGAGCAGAGTTTCAATGAAGCAAGTTGCAAAGTTTAGGGTTGGCAGTGAGCAGTGAGGATAATAACATCTCAAACTTTTCAAACTAGGCTTAGGATTTACAAATGTATTAGATATATTTAGATTCTTAATTTATATTTTAAATTTATAAATATTTACATTGAATATATATATTTTGGAATAAGATTATCTTCTTCTTTTTTTGTAATAAAGAGGGGCAAAAGCCCCAAACAAAACAAAAATTACACGACGCGAGAACTTAAAAGATCTACAGAAGCATCCTGAAGAAGGAGCTCTAACAAAGGAGAAGGAGGAGAATGATAAACAATAAGATTATTATCATCCTCAAAATGCCTAGAAGCAAACCAGTGAGCACATCTGTTATTTTCTCGAAAGGTGTGGACCCAACGAACATCCCAATCTTCAGCAAGCCCTTTGTGAATACGGGAAACAACCTGAGAGTTTCTGTGATTGTTGCTCCCTTCTTGGATAGTGCTAAGAGCAATTTGTGAGTCACATTCCAACTCCACTCTCCTAGCACCAGTACCCCTGGCCAGCTCTAAACTTTTGAGGATACCCCAGAGTTCTGCATCAAGAGGATTACAGAAACCTAATCTGAAAGAGAAACCACCCAGAAAAGCACCATTGTGATCTCTAGCAAGGCCTCCACAGCTAGCATGCTGCCTAGATAGGGAAGAAGCACCATCTGTGTTAATCTTCAACCGACCAGGTTCAGGACGACACCATTTAGTAGGCTGATGGGCATTAGGGAAGCTGCCAAGAATGCTTCTATTCTTACCTCTAGCTTCAATTAAATGCGCAATAAAATCAGAAATGACACGCTTATCATTGCTTGGCCTTAGAAAACTATCATCATGAATATGATGATTACGCCAATTCCAAAGATTCCAGCAAGTAGTATAGAAAACATCTCTTCAATCAACATGAATTTGATAATTCCAACCCTTACTCACATTTTTGATGAGCCAAGGCTGTAGATCTAATGTGAAGAAATCGTTGGGGACCCTTCTACCAAACCAATCTATCCACAATCTTTTGGCTTGAGAACAATCTCTAAGGACATGAATAAGAGTTTCTTCACTGTTTGGACAGTTAATGCAAAAATTAGGACCCCTATTCCATTTGCATGTACGACTCCTAACTGGAAGCTTATTAAGAAAAGCCAGCCACATCATAGTCTTGATTCTTTCTGGACCCTTCCAGTCCCAAATCTTCTTCCAGGGAACATTCCTTTGAGCATGTTGAAAATTCATCAAGTTCAAGTAGGCAACCTTAACTAAGGAAGAGGACACATGATTCTGACACCAAACTAACCTATCCTCAGTATTATCTTCCAAAGCAACAGAAACGCAAAACACCTTAGAGATTAGCTCATCATTTAAGAATTGCTTCAAATATCGAACATCCCAGGTACCATGCTGAAAGATCTCAGCAATGGTTCTATGCAATTGCAGATCAGGAATATGATTAGGAGCTAAATTACAAAGATTATCATCCAGATTCAACCAATTATCTGCCCAGAATTTACATGTGCGGCGATAACATTTCCCCAAATTGATTTTAATTTAGCTTACTGCCAGCCCCAAACTTTGCAACCTGCTTCCCCGAAGGATCATTGCAGCACACAGACAAAGACAAACAATCAGCAAAAGCTGATAATACCAATGTAGAACACAACGAAGATAGTGATAAGTAAAGCAATAAAAGCTTACCAAAAAAAAAAAAAAAAGTAAAGCAATAAATTATAATCAACTCAAAATCAATCAAGGCATTTTATTTAGAATGATTATATCTCAATAAATCAGCATAATCAACTCAATGATATTTTAATAAGGATAATCATCAACTAACATATTCAGCACAATATTAGTCACAATATTACATAGATGATAATAATCACAACTCGAATATTCATCATAATCAAATCAAGTATCAAATTCTATTATTAATCATGTTTAAGTTCATTTAGTGTATTTAGTGGGAAGAGAACTGTGGTAGACCCCAAAAACCCTGTCAGTCTACCCTGTGACCCGGGAAACCCTGTCAGTCACAAATAATCAAATTGGCCATAATCAAAACATCTCTTCCTAGTGTACACACCTCTTCCCAAAGTTGCTACTAGCATCCTGGGAAACCCTACCAGACACCACTTTGGGAAGAACGGATAATATCTGTTCACATCGTATAAATATATTGGACGCATAAAGCCCAAAGGTTGTGTTCATCACTTTAGAAGGTACCATCCCAAAGCTATCCTCCCACTATTAATTTACTTCAATCACACACAATCAATTCAATCTTGTAACAATTCTCATAATTAGAAAATTTCCTCAAGTAGTTTTCATAATTTCCACATCAATTTACCAAGAGTATAATTTCCAAATTCAATTATCCAAGAATATCATAATTTTCAAAATAATTAATCCTATTATTTTCTAGGAGTTAAAACCCAATAAAATTCCAAACATATATAACTTATTCTATGATGCTCTTAATCCCAAGAGTTACAAATAAAAATCTTCAAATAAAACTAACTTGTGACACCCAAAAGATCAAAATCACACTAACAAAAATTCATATAAAGCTAAACCTTGACTTTCTAGGGATTAGGATTACATATACAAAATTTCATATATATAAAAAAAATAACCTAAAGGAACCTACTAACTCCAAATTTCATATACAAAAATATCCTAAGGTGGCGTTTGGTTGAGGAGAAATTTTTTGAATACTAGGGAAATGGTTGGAAACTGAGTTTGGTAGGAAAATGTAAAAAAAGTTGTTTGGTTGAGTAAAATTTTACCATAAAAATTAAGTGAAATTTGTGAAGAGTGTGTTTGGTTGAATATAAAATAATGATGGGTAACTATTCTGAATTTACGAAACTATCCTTTTAAACATTGCCCTTTTTATTTTATTTTTTTATTTTTTTGAATTTTGAAACCCTCAGCCTTCACCACACACTACCGTCATCCTCCTTCTCTTCACCACCTCATCGTCCCTCCAAAGCCCATCGTTCCACCATGACCGCTGCACCCAAACCACTACCCCACCTCATCGTCCTCCTTCCATCAACCCACCACTAACAGCCTTTACTTTATTTTTTTTGTGAACCCACAACCACACCGTCGACCACCATCTCCATCCAGCCACCACCGTTCAGCCCCCCATCCTATCTTCATCTTCAACAGCCCATCACCGCCCCTCCTCTTCTCCTAGCCAGACAAACCAACCATACCCCCACCTCAGCCAACCGATCCATCTCCAAACCGAGATAATATCAGAGGGTATTTTCGGTTGATTTAAAATTGCCTTTTGCAATTTAGACGGCTTTCCACCAAAAACCACGTCCGAGTTCTCTTTCTGAACAGTGCCAATTCCCTGCTTTCATCGACCAAATGGGAAATGCCATGCAAATGGAATAGATGGGCATCGTTGCCAAATCCGTCATAGACATAGACATAAAGTCACCGCATGCAATAAAAAACTCATCAATCACTTCATGGAAAGAAACATGATAGTTCCACAGAATTTAAAGCAGCAAAAAGTGAGATAATCCAGAAGTAACCCACTGCAGCAAAAGGATTTAATGAGCATAAATGAGTGTGAATGAAGCATTACACTTATGGAAAACAATAGCCAAGCATGTTCCATATTGTTATTGGGATCAGAAAAGAAATTATATTAAAGAGAAGAAAGAAGGTACAACTAAGGGGGGATAGAATAGAACATCACAAAAATTAAGTAATAAACTATAAACAACTTGAAAAAATCCAGAATGCAGCAAGGCTAGCAACTCCCATGAAATAGAATGAGCACAACACCAAAGAGAAACCATAAACACAATCCTTTCCCATAGCAAGCTTAGGGGGAAAACGCATTTAAAAATGTGAGCATTCTGCTTCAACCAAATACACTAGAGCACTGCATGAAACTAATACTGCTACAAAAAAAGATTTTGGATCAAAGGAGAAATATTATTAGAGGAGAGAACGAAAGAAGTACAAGAACAGTCCAATCAAAGGCTATGAAATCCTCTTCATAGAAAGGCGCGAAAAGGAAAACAAAAAGGAATGCCTGAGCAGAAAATGAGAACAAAGGAGAAAGGACCCTTTTAGAAACATACAACAACAACGAAAACCTTTTCCCAGTAGGACTCTGTTAGCAACATAGAGTAATAAAATTAATCACAAGGCAGAAAATGAAATCTTAACTTACAATATCTGACTTGGAGCACTTGAAACCATGTGCAAGAGCAGACATGTATATTGCTGCACCACATAATCCACTGGGCTTCCTCCCGGTCTGTTTTTCAAACATTAGCAATATCATCATAATAATAAGAACATTCTTTTGATCCCATGAAAAAAAAAAATTAAATAAAGAACTAAGAACAATGCCAGATCAACATCAAGTTACCTGCATCCAGTCACGTTTCATGCTAGCAATAATACTCAGCGCAGTTTCAGAAACAGGCACATTCCTTTTCTTTAACAAATCTACATGTAAATCAATCTAATTATGTTTCCTTGCTCAGAGAAAATAATGGGAACAGATTTTTCTGTTTAAAAAAATTAAAAATAAATAAATAAATCACCCGAACAATGTAAAATTCACATATACATAACAGATTAATGTTGTTCCCATGCTAACAACATAACAAGCTTATGTAGACAAGTTTTCACAAGTCAAAATTAAACCATTTTCAAATAAAATGGTTTATAATTCCATTCTATCTTCTAAATTATTCATGGTAGCATTACATGAGTTGGTTTCTTGTTTTAAATATGGAAAGTATATGTAATTATTTGTTTCCTTATTTTTTAGGATTTGAATTATTTCCTTTAGGCCCATTAGTCTCTCCATATACATTATACCCCTTTTGTACATAATCAGATTAGAATAGCAATAATATTTCAGTTTTTCTCCTTTCAAGATTTCTATATCTTATGCCCTCACACTACTTTCCTATACACCATTAAATAGGTTGACAATTACATTGTTAAGAGAAAAACAAAGATCTATAATCCAAAACTTATGAAGTACAGACACTTCGACACATATCCGACATGTGGTCAACATTTCTGACGCGTTGACCAATCTGACACGCGAATTTGACCGTGTGCGACACAGTCAAATGGAAACTTTATAATAAAATTATAATTTTGAAAAAATTAAAATACATTTAATAAAAACTTAAAAAAGTTTTAAAAATCTCTTAATCTAGTGTTTCCTTCCATGCTTCAACCAACCCTTTTCTCCCCTCTCAAAAACGGAATCTTTTTTGGCTAAATTGATGGATATTATCAGTTTTGTTTCATTTTTTTGTTGAGTTATTGAATATGAAATGTAATATACACTATATAAATTAAAAATATTATTTAATATTAAAACGTGTCCCAACGTGTCAAAATTTAGATTTTTTTAGAATTGACAGTCGAAGTGTCGTACACTGTCATGTCGTGTGTCGGATGTTGGTGTCGGTGATACATAGTCCAAAACTCTATGCAGCGGTTTAATCACACTGACGACAAAATTGTCTTCTATAAAACAATTCTAAGAGATTAAAAGGGCATACAACCCCTATGTTTCGATAATTATGGAACACCAGCAATAATAAAGAAATTTACTGCCTTTTCCTTTTTCCCCTTTTAATTTTCATTTTAAGATTGAATAATCCTTCAAAGTGAATTCCTGAGCAAACATTCACATTTATGGCTCTCACAAAAAAGGATGTCTATCTTATTTCTGAAGTGTTGAAAACCACTATATTAGTCTTCAGTAGATAACCTATGTCTTGCAATGGAATGAGACTATACTACACAGTGCATACTTAATTGATCCAATTAAACAAATTGAGCTTAAAATGATACTTACTATTCGTGAATTTATAAATAAAAAGACTGGGATCAACAGGCTTTTGAACAATTGGGTGCTCTTCGAGCCTTAATACTTTACAAAGCTGCAAGAAAACTGCACCTAGCACATAACTGCATGACACTCATTGACATTTAACACGAACAAACATCATTCAGAAACATAAAAATTGAAATAAATAGAGATAAAATTAAACCAAAGTAAGGGGAAAAAACATATAAGTAGTGTCAGAAGTCCAATGCCAAAAGAAAAGCACACTCACACATTTGTCCTTAAATAATTTGAAAAATCAATAAGAAGGTATGGCTTATTATTTTCCCTGCAAGAAGAAATATAATTTCAGCACAAAAATGAGATGTTGCAAAAATGAGATATGGTATGATCAGAGTCATTTATGATATGATAAATGAAGGGAAAAAGAAAAAAAAAATTCCATGAAGCTCATGTTGCACTTGAACCATAGTCACAAAGCACTACTGAAAACTCTGATCATTTACTACTCACTAACCTATCACATCACTAACAACCATTATATCACTTCACTTGACAAAGTCCTAACCTAACTGCAACCACTGTAGCATTATGAACTCAAACAACACAAGCCCTAAGTGCACCTGACGTAAAACTACAACATTAAAGAGGATGCTGAGGAAGGGACACATAAGAAAGAATACGTGATTAAGAAAGAAAGAAGACAAACCAATAAATCATGGTATATTTAAAAATGGCAAAACAATATTCATTGATAAAAAAAGGTAAAATTCTAAACAGTTTAAAATGAGGGATCTTTAACACATTTACTCATGCAACTACCAAATGACAAATGTATGGGGAAAATTAGAGATATTGCATAGTGCAAACCTGTAGCATAAACATATCTTACCGGAAAGCAATATAGAGACAAGCAGCCTGTACTTGTTCTGATTTACGTCCCCTGGTGAAATTCCTCTCAAGCGCTATCTTCACTAGGCATACACAATGATTCAATAAAAAAAGAAAACCATTCACATAAAAGCATAAATAAAAAGAAAGCTAGTCTAACATCAATGAAGCTAAAAATAGCAACATACTCTATAAAAGGCCAAAGCTTGGTTGGCTACATTATCATCATTCACTCCAAGGCTGAAACTTAAATATTTGATATCATCATAAGCTGCAACCCCGGAGAAAATTGGCACATAAGAATATAAATCATTAAATATAAACTATATTAAATTATTAAAGGTAATTGATATATTATCATTATATGACATGGACATCAGAGGATCAATTCATGTAAAGAGCCTCTTGCATATGCAAGGTAAGGCTGCCTATAATACACCCATGCAATGGTCTGACCCATCCCTAGACCCCACACATTGCGGGGGCTTTGTAACACCAGGTTGTCCTTTTTATAAGCACTAGAAAGTCAACTGTCCGAACTTCTATTTTATTCATGTTTTCCCTATAATTCTAATCACCTGCCTACACTATCAATGAAATTAGCTGTTGTGAGCATTGTAAGAATAAGTTTTACTTTCCTTCTCTCAGTAAGAATGTTAAACATCACAACTCATTAATGTACCACAAATTAAAAAATAAATAAAAAAGAGGTATAAAAATAGCAGAACTCGTAAGATTTAAGAATGCCATAATAACATGTTCGATAGTTCTTACGTACAAAGCATCATATGCCGAATGAGAAAATCAATTTATACTAGGCCGCAAAAAAGAATTGTAAGCCATAACCTCAACTACATTCATAGTGCAAAATCAATAATGATGCATAAAAATTAATACCTCTGTCTAAAGTCCTTTGGCGTGAAGCAGAGAATTCACTTTGAATTGTTCTTACATAACGGCCAGATAATTGGCTCTGTATGAAACAAATAATGAAACCATATGATGGAACAATGAAAGATATCAACAAAAATAATAGTGTAGAGAGAAAACAAACCAAACCAAACAAAAAATTATCACTGAAAACACTAAACTCATAGTTCTCATGAGACAACCTGGACACTTCAGTTCAAACCTCAGATCTAGTAATGATTACTTAAAAAATTAAAACTTTGGCAATAAGTTGAAGAACAGAATGTGCTATAGCAATTCCATTTCCATAACCCTTCCTTCTTGGGCACTTTGGGGAAAAACTTACATCAACATCATCTTAAAAAATCTAGGAGGTTTCTCCAGTAGCCTTCCCTTTTGTCAGGGAACCAGGAACCGTATCCCTTAACGATTAGGGGCTAATATTTGACCACCGGCCACTAATTGCCAAGAATATTTGTAGCCTCAAAAAATTAAACAGCAGCAAGAGAATATTCTAAAATGGAATGGAATAAAAATCTCACACCATCAACAATGTAATGAAGAATAGTTTTCATCCCATTGTTCAAAAGTTCCAGCAGAGGGGAATGGTACAAATTATGAAAAATAATGCTTATTTATTATTTATTTTTCCTTCACATGTTCTTACTTTTATATGAGTTCATCGACCGCAAACCCAACTTAGTTTGGCATAAAGGTGATGTTGATTTTGATATTTTTGTTAACTCTAACACCCTTAAGCCTCAAGATTGAAGAAACAAAAAATGTAACTTCATAAGCTATTCCATCCCTTACCCCCAATTTTTAGAGCCAGATGGAATCCATCCAATTCTATTCCATTACATGCCATCCCATTTTAAAACATCCAATCAATGTAAACCTTCATCATTCCATCCCTCACTAGTCACCACCAATCCAAACAAGTCCCTAAAAACTAAAAGTCCTCTCTTCCAAAATCCCCACCCGCCCAATAAGATTCCACTCCATTACCTGCCCTGCCGAATTTTTCACGAAGGTGGGCTCCTGAGAAAAATGGAAGTCTTCCAACACCTTCCCACATACGTTACAGCATCTGAAAACATTCCAAGAACAAAACTTAACAATAATCCAATATCATTCCAAATAAATAATTATAAAAAATCAGCTTTAAATCTATCACATAAGAAAAAGATCTACAGAATCTGACAACATTCCAAAGAACAAACAAATTAACAATAATCCAATATCATACGAAAATAAATAAATAAATAATCAGCTTTAAATCTATCACATAAGAAAAAGATCGACAACATTCCAAGAACAAACAACTCAACAATAATCCAATATCATATAAAAAAACAAAAAAAAACATCTTCAAATTCATCACAAAAGATAAAGATGTTAGTGCAAAGTACAACGGGTTACTCACAAGGGACCATCATCGAGTCGAAACCCGGGAACATTTTTACAACAGTGATCACAATGCACCATCTTTTTTTTTTCTTTTTTGGTTAATCAACACTCTCTGCTACACACCGTTACCAATTAAATCTGCAAAAGCAATGAGACGGAGACTTTAATCGCTAAACCGAACAAAATTAAAAAATCATAAATAAATAAATAAATAACGGAAAAAGATCAGTGTATTAACAAAATCGTAACACCAAATAGAAGAGTTTGGGTTAACTGGCAGAAACCTTCGGAGGAGGAAGAAGCAATAGTCAATTGAACTGCTTAGGGCTACACACACTAGTTGTTAGAGTTTTAGTTTTTGTACGGTGAAGAAAATGTGCCGCCATTTAATTATCAGATTTGAATTAAAATAATGAAGATTATTATATAATAATCTTTCGGAGATTGATTCACACGTGAGATGAGTATTCTCCGAATCTCTCTAATCAAATCTTAGAGGGGAGTTTGATACACTAGAAATTTTTTTTTCTCCGAAATCTTAATTTTTAAAAATATAATTTTTATATTCAATTTACGATAATATTTTAAAATTAATAATTTAGAAAAATTTAGTTTTCCGAGAATCTTGAAGAATATCGCATACCAAACGGTCCCTATGACATAAATGGGCGTGGGCTCCATGCCCGCTGAGTTTGGGAACATCCAATAAAAGAACAGAGAAAATAGAAAATAATAAATTATAAATAAACAATAAACAAGTGAAGTTTGTCAAATTATTTTAGGGGATTACTTCTAGCACTAGGAGATAAGTTGGGATAAATAAAGTGGGGACATCAATTTTATAAAAAAAAATATTTTTCGATATGAGTGTAATATGGGACATTAATTTTCTTTAATATGATAATATAATTTTCCATTTAAATAACTCTAGTTATTATCTCATGTCATAAAGATAAAAAAAAATATGAAGTTCACATGTGAAAAAAAAAAACAAGGTAAGAATTTCGATTGGTCATCGGGGGGAATATTTCTCCTCTAGGGAGTCATAATTCCTATTATTTGTACAGATGACTTCTTTTATGTTGGGCAAATGACTTCTTTTATACCTAAAAAAAGTGAATTGGTGTTCAATGATTCTTTTTTCAAAACATCAATTGGACAGCCTAATGGAACTTACGGCTTGTTTGGTGGACAGGATAAGATAAAGACTGATAGGATAAGAGAATTTGATAAGGGTATGATATGATATGATATGGACATGATAAGCTCATATCCTATCATGTGTTTGACGTGCACTAGATAAAGATTTGTAACGTCGAAATGATGTATTGGGAAAAATAAAAATAAAAATTTCCTTATCATATCCTACCACTTTCTAACCCAAGCCCCCCAATGGGATAAGTAATTAGGCTTTGAGTAGGATAAGAAAAACCAATCAAATAATTATATTCTATCTGCTTGGCATACCAAACAATTGATAAAAGCATTATAGGATAATTTATCCTATCATATCCTCCTTATCAGGTACACCAAACGAGCCCTATAGTTCTATGACACACCAACTGAACCAAGAACTACTCCCTTAACTAATTTCACTACTTTATATTTATTAACAATCATGCACTTCATTTGATTCAATTTTAATGCGCAAGGTCTCTAAAAAATCATTTTGTAATATACTTTTTAGAGATATTTTGTTTGGAAAAAATATTTAAATAGTTTTTTATTTTTTTAAAAAAATAATTATATAAACGAGGAGTAGAAACTTAATGCTAAAGGAATAGATTCCCTTTTATTTGAAATGCTTCTAGCTAGTGCTAAATTACAGGCTTTCTTGTGTAAACTTTTCGCTCACAACTCCTATTTTATCACCTTCACTACAGCTTTGTTTATTTAGTTTGGATTTGACTATCAAATCATAATAGTTGACATTAATTTACATTTATTAGCAAATCAAAATTGTAGCCTAACTTAATTCAAACTATTTTGTATTTATTTCCAATTATAAATGTCTATTTAAGATGTGCATTTTACAATCAATTCAAGGAAAATATCATTTCTAATATGGTATTACAGCTTTCAATCAAAAATAAAATTTCTCTCTTCTATAATTGCACAACACAACCTATCGTGTGATAATGTGAAGCTTTCATAATGGCTACAATTGGATATCAGTTGCAGGTGTGGTTGGATATGCAAATGCAAAAGGACAAAGACCACTTGTTCCCATTGTGGCAAGATAAATCATAAGGAAAGCAAACGCTCGCATAGATTAGGTAGAGGCCGCGAAAAAAGACATATCTGATGAAGTTGTGATTATTGAAAATTGACAATCACATTACACATGCAAACTGTTATGGAATGTATCCATATTCTATCTACCTACCATGAATCTCTTAATGGATAATAACGCAATTATCCTAACAGCATAATATGATAAAAATAATGGAGATAAAACCCTTATCCCCATTGTTGTGGACCTAGTCGAGGCCCACGCTTCTGGGAGGCCAAATCACTCAAGCCCTAAGGTAAACTTTATAAATAGAAGCTAAAGACCACAGGTATGACTAATCTCTCTTTAACCTATTTTATGCAAACACAGCACACACACCACCCCCATCTCAGACAGGTCTAGTATAGTGTGTCGTGATTTTCTACTCCCAAGATACCTAATTCATAGGTATCTGCAGAGATAGAGCACCAGATCCAACATAGAAACACTAGCCCAAGGCTAGACACCTTTGCCAACAGGCAGAACATTGGCACCGTCTGTGGGGAACGAATCCATAAAATCTGAAAAACTCACAATCGAAAAATGGTGTGCACAACCAGAAGTGGTTACCGGCTACCATCAATATCGAATGCTGGACGCGAACGAATCCCTACAATCAGGGAGGATCCTTCGAGGCAGCATGTACCTGACAATCACCAGCAGGTGGAGACCAACGTTGTCCATGTTAGTGATGTGCATTATGATTCAGCGTCAACTCCAGTAGTAAATCACAATGCCCTATACGTAGAAGGATTACAACTGATTGGGGCCCATGCGTTGAATGCGGAACAAATACCTAATACTATTAATCATGACCAGCGGGTGACGGATCTAGTTGTTGTTGCGGTCCTCAAGAGAATGGAGGAAATGGAGAGAAGAAACGAGCTCCAAAGAGAAGAAGATGTGCGGCATATCCGAGATTTAGAAACTCGGTTATGGAAAGCCAGGAACCCAGATCCTGTGCAGGCTATAACACAAGTGATGACCGATCTGAGGATCACAAATCCCCACCGAGATAACAGTCATCGTGGAGGTGAGGTCGGCCAAGCAAAGAATATTGCAGGCAGAGACCAAAGAAGGGTTTCTAACCTAGCTCAAAATCAAGACCAAAGAAGGGTTTCTAACCTAGCTCAAAATCAAGACCAGATAAGGGTTTCTAACTTGGTGCGAAACCAAAAGGTACAGAATGATAGGAGTCGAGGTGATAGGAGTAACTCTGGAAGGCAAGCGAAAAATGTTTGGCCCTCTGATAATAGGCAACAAGTTAGAAACCCGGATGATGTCTCTGGAGTGTACATGAGGAAATATAATAGGGGCAATACAATGATAGTCCTTTTGTGGATGAAATTGTTTATGTACCTTTCCCAGAAAATTTAAACTTATCTGAACTACCAAAGTATGATGGAACCCAAGATCCTCTAGTTCATTTAGATGCCTTTGATACTGCTATGTACATCAAGGGAATAGAAGAATTGTTAATCACACGACTCTTTGCAACCACGCTAACAGGGGCAGCTCAAATGTGGTTTTCATCACTACCAGCCGGTTCTATCAGGTCCTTCGAGGAGTTTGGTGGAAGGTTCTTGCTGAACTTTGCCACCAGCAAAAAGCAGCCAAAGTCAGAACTTGCCTTGCGCAAAATAAGGCAGCAACCCAGCGAAACTCTGCAAAAATACTTAGACTGCTTTAAAGAGGCGGCTTTGCAAGTTCCAGGGTTGTCCGAAAATGTCCACATACATCTAGTGGTGGCAGGGTTGCAAGGATCCTCTAGGCTGGCTATATCCATTTATAAGAACCCGATTCGGACGTTGGTAGAGTTCACAGCTCGTTCGAAAAAATATCTCGAGCTAGAGCAGATGGAAATAGAAAACGCAGATCAGAGACGAAGCCCAAGCAAGTTTGAGAAACCCGAAAATAGAAGAAAAAATGATTTCTAGGGTAAGAGGCAGGAAGAAAGAGTTCCAACAAGAGGAAGATTTGAAAAGTATGCGCCCCTTAACTCTCCCAGATCTCAAATATAGAGGGAGGTGGCCTCTACCGAGATGAAAAAGGTTGAAAGACCTCGACCCTTACTGAACCGGGCTGGAATAAACCACACACGGTACTGTGCTTTTCATGATGGACTAGGGCACACCACAGATGAGTGTTGGGATTTAAGAGACGCCATTGAAAAGTATATTAGGGATGGTAAGCTGTGACAATATCTCATAAGAACTCAAGGATGGAGAAACAACAGGAAAAGGAAAGGCCGACAAATGAGCCCGGTCAAGGAGAAAAGGTTGAGGGAGGAGAACCGAGGTAAAAAGCTGGTCAGAGATGAAGACGAGTTCGTAGAACTAGAGTTCGAATGTAATGTGATCAGTGGAGCCTTTGGTGGAGGGGGTGATACGATGAATGCAAGAAGAAAATACTTGAGGGAGGTACTCTCGATCCGAGAGTGGCCTAGATTCAAAGAAGAATCCCAACAGCCAGAGCCACCATTGTTGTATTTTACAAGAGAAGAGTTGGAGGATGTAATGACGGGACATGTTCATAGACTGGTTATTACTGGAACATTAGTCAACTACCCGGTCAAAAAGATCTTTGTTGACAATGGCAGTTGTGCAACATAATTTTGTGGGAAGCATTCAAAAAGATGAATCTGGATGAGGAAAACTTGAAGCCATGCAAAACTACCTTGATTGCGTTCAATGGTCAGAACACCTCCCCTAAGGGATACATTGATCTTAGACTCATTTTAGGGTCAAAAGAAGCGTTCAAGTCCGAAAAGGTAAGGTTCATAGTAGCCGATTTCCCTTCAGAATATAATATGATACTGGGTAGACCAATTATTCATAATTGGGATATGTTGGTATCTACTATGCATAAGAAAATTAAAGATGGTTGGTAAGCAGAATACAATGATTACCATTGTCGAGGATCAAAAGGAATATCGGGAATGCTCTTTTAAGTCGGTTAGGGTCATGGAAAACAGACCCAGTTCCTCAATCCAGCTCAAGGAAGATGATCACGCAAGTCAGATTGCACAAAACCAGAAAAATATAGCTCGGTTAACATGA